GTAAGAAGGCAAAAAGATCGACATAGTCAAATTTAATATATCCTTTTGAGTGAAAACTACCAAATATTGACCTAGTGAAAAATCCAGTATTTAGGAAAATCCACACTGTTAGGTACATACAATCCTAGTGTGCAAAAATCTTACAAGTCCAGGATCGCGAAACCTCCTATTATTACTTAACAAATAGACTGGGCCAATGGCTAGTACTCTCAAAATGCTCTATTTTTTGTTGTTTCCCACGTTTGCACGGGCATGCACACACACAAGATTAAGATGAAGCCCAGCATGTTTAGTGTGTCATTGAGAGCTGTCCTTGCCACTCAAAGACAAAGCAGTGGGCCTGGTGGTTTTGAAGTCAGTCCTTCCCCCTCTCTGTCCCTGCTGCCTCTCTCTCCTCATACCATCTTTCTGCTGTTGTCCTTGATCCTTGCTTTTAACTTTCACGTGACAATCCAATCACTTACTAACAGTTTTTCCATCAACTTAATTGGTCCTAGAATGAATGCTAACAGAATGATAAGTCCTGAGCACCAACATATTAAGTATGTATCCAAGGAGGGATGGAGCAGGCCAGTCCCCAGGCTGTTAACAGACACATGGTGATATCTGTAGGTCATTATTATGTAGTACCAGCCACTGGAGACCTTCTAATATGTAGATGGTTACGTTGCTTTGGAGGCATTTTATTGATTTATTTTTTAACAAATATTCAAATAATACTGATTATGCTGTTATTATTATGGCTAATCCAACCCTGAATGGTTGAGAATAAATCAGCCTTCTGTATCCTTGGAGTCAACCACTTACGCATTCCAAAAACTCAAAAAAAAAAAAAAAAGAATTGCATCTATACTGAATGTGTACAGACCTTTTCCTTGTCATTATTTTCTCAACAATACATCATAATAACTATTTACATAGCAAGCACCTTGTACTAGGTATTATGAGTAATCTAGAAATGATTTAAAGTGCTTAAAAGAATATATGTATAACAATGAGGGTCTCCTTCCACCATCATGCAATTCCCATTCTCCCTCCCTTTCCCTCCCACACCTCTTCCCTATGTAGAGGTAATCTTCCCATGCTCTTCCTCTCTTCCCCATTTTGAGTCACCCCCCTTATATCAGAGAAGACATTCGGCATTTGTTTTTTTGGGATTGGCTAACTTCACTTAGCATAATCTGCTCTAATGCCATCCATTTCCCTGCAAATGCCATGATCTTATTATTATACATTATTATACAAAATACATGTATGAAGATGTGAGGAAAAAAAAAGAATAGCGTTACCCTAGATTAGGTAGAGAGAAGTGATGGGAGGGGAGGGGAGGGGTTGGGGAGATAGGAAGGATAGTAGAATGAAACAGACATTATTATTACTGTGTATATGCGTGACTGCATGACCAATGTGATTCTGCAACCTGTATACTCAGAAAAATGAGATATTATATCCCATCTGATTCAAATGTATGATATGTCAGGGTCATTGTGCTGTCATGAGTAACTAATTAAAACAAATTTTAAAAAAAAAGACACACTCAAAAAGGCAAGGGTCACATGTTTTCCCTCCTATGTGAATACTTGACCACATATTGGAAAAGGGGAATTCAATGAAAATAGCAGAGATATTTGTGGAATAAAGGCAGGGATTATAGGAAAGGGAGGGAGGACGAAAAGAGGGATGAACAGTAGAATGAAACAAACCAAACTTTCTCATGTACATATATGAATAAAACATGGTGAATTTCAATTTTGTGTGTATCTATAATGCACTAATTTAAAAATCTATAAATAAATGGAAGATAAAACAACAGAAAAAAAAAGAATGTATGTAGGTTTAATGCAAAGACTGTACTGTTCTATGTAAGGGACTTGAGCATCCATGAGTTCTGGATTCACTGGGGGATCCTGGAACCAGTCTCCCAAGGACAACAAAGGTCCACTTCAACCAAAGAGTTTGTTTATAATCAAGTGTTTGGTATGAATTCAGGAGAGAAAGAGGCCCCTGAAAGGGAAGCAGGGCAGTGAGAGGTGGTCTCCTGGAAACTGGAGGTATCTGAGCTGAATCCTAAGTGACATCCTGAGATTCATGTTAATGTAGGGAGGAAGTACCAAGGCTCTGTGAAACTATCTGGAGGAACTTTCTTTACTTTGTGTAGGCATATGGAGAAAAGAATGGAAGAACGTAGCCAGGGTAAAAGTTGGGACTCATTGGCAGCCTCATCCCTAAGCTCTGTAATGGGGGTTCCATTAGATGCCTACTCGAAGGGAACGAGACTCCGGAGCTAGAGTCACTTGCAGCAGTAGTCGTTCAATAGTAAATGAATAAGATGTGTTGAAAATGCTGTGGGCGACCCCACTGGCACCTCGTGTCAAACCAAGAAATCTTTTGAAATGTTCACCTTAAAACCTTTCTCTAGCACCTTTCCCCTCCTGATGCACTTGGTCAGGAATTGGTCTAGAATTGGTCTGGACTTAGTCTTGTCATCGGTCTGGAATTAGTCTTGTGTAGAATTCGTCTTGTCATTGTTTTGGGTACATATTGACAAGGTCAGAGAGCACTAGAGAAATGGGACAAGCCATTCCATCTGGCCTTGAGCTTTCTTCTACCTCTCTTCCTTTTGCATTTACCGTCTTGGCTATTCTTTCCCCAGTGTCTCATTTTCTTCTGGAGTTTCTTTTTTTTTTTTAAACCAGTTTGAACAGTTTTTCAATTGCATCTACCACTAAATTTGAACTCTTTTCTAATTATGTTCTTGTTCTTTCCCCCAAATTATCCTGCCTGCATTAAAGCTGATTCACAGTTTTGTTTTCCAGTTCACGCACTAAACTCTGATATTTATCATTTTAGTCACCAAGATCTTCCCTTTGTCTTAGAGCAAGTCAGATGCCTTCAACTAAGTGTTTCGTGTCCAGCTTTCTTGCTTCTTCTTGGTCTTTGGGTTCACATTCTCCAGTGTAGAATTTCTTCTAAGTCCCCTGCAGTTCTAGAGCCCCAGTTGATTCTGCACACTCCAAGTTTGAAAGCCTTTGTTCCAAGGGCTCTTGAGGGAAGTGGGCCAGACACAGCGTGATGTCTGGGACGTGAGTGGTGCTCTGGGGAAGAGGGAAGGATGAGAATTCCTCCCCTGACCCTGGGTTCCTCTCCTACCCTTCCCTGTTGGCTTTTCATGGGTCTCGGACATTTCCCTTTCTGAAATAATTTCCCTCTTCCTTTCCTTGTAGTGCCACAGTGTGGGGGTCTTCTTTTCCAAAGCAGCCAGATTCCTCTGCAGTTTAGAATACTAGGGAAGAGCCCAGGGGCACCGAGAGGCTTAAACTGGTCTATCCCAGTTCACAAGGCTCCAAAACTTAATAAATAAACAGATTTATATAATATAATATAATTTATATAATAATTTATATAATAAACAGATTTATGGGGGAGGGAAAAGCGTTTTTTTTCTTTTGGAACCACGAACCATCTATTATATACAATATTTTGTGTGTACTGCAGCCATTTTTATGGTTTAAAGTAATGAGTTAATAATGGCTGTCTGAATTTCATCATGTAGTGATTTTATTTTATTTTTTTACCTTATGGGAAATTCACCCTCACCCATCACAAAGATGATTTCCTTATAAGTTGCCTCTGGGCCTGAGCTTCTGGAGGTGAGCCCCATTCGCCATAACAGATAAAGCAGGCTTCTCACAATAAGCTTCCCAAATATATTTATGAAAACCGAGAACAAGAGCTGCCAGGTCTGGGCCCTCACAATGCTGGTGTGTCGTTGGCTGCTGTCCACTTCAGGGCCTTCTGTGGTCAATTGTGAACTCTGTCCTGACATTTTCAAAAGGTCATACAAGGAAGTGCTGAATAGACATGGGAAGGGAGAGGAGGAAATACTTCAGCAGCCGAAGATAAAAGATTTCCCAGAAGCCACTTATCTTTTAACTCCTAACCAGCTAATGAACCCAGGGGCTTTCCTCTGCAGTCTGGGGTCTTGGAGCTGGGTCCTTGCTGTCTGTAGTACTTGTCCCAGCTAGGTCATCAGAATGTCATATAGGCACTTTGCTATTTTGAGTGTGAGAAATGACTGGTACCGGGTGAGTCACTTCTTACACGTTACATCTCACTAGGCAAATCACACTGGGAAATGCACACTGGCATTCATTCTGTTCTGGCACATTCCAGTGTAGGTGGGTTTTTCCCTTCCTCCCCAGCCTTTGAAGATGGCTGCTGCCTATTATCAATGGTGTGGACCAAATTCTAACAAAGTAGATGCCTTAGACAGGTTATTCTAGTGCCCTCACTACTCTACCAAGCAGCTCTCTTTTTCTTTTATTTCTCTCTCTCTCTCTCTCTTTTTTTTTTTTTTTTTTTGGTACCAGGGATTGAACTCAGGTATTTAGAGACAGGGTCTCACTGCATTGCTTAGCGCCTCACCATTGCTAAGGCTGGCTTTGAACTCACGATCCTCTTGTCTCAGCCTCCTGAACTGCTGCTTTTCTATGGAATCAAGCCTTAGTTCCTTCTGGATGTACACATCCAGCTCCAGGATGATTTCCAACACATTTTTCTGTTTTCTCTGTTCTCCATGTATGACAAGGCTTCTCTTCCCAAGGCCAATTATTTGGATCTCATCTAAATTTGAATTTAGAAAGTACTCATATTTACCAAAGATAATTCTCGCCTTTTGACTAAATACATAGAATTTCAGTCGCCACAGAAGAATAAGAGCTTTGGAGAACCATTCCATGGAAATGACTGTATTCACCAAGTTTAAGATGAAAGAGAAAAAGTATTCTTTTATTGAGTACTTTCAAAATCAGGTTTAAAAGGATTCTTTAACCCCTGCCTATAATTTGTAGTGGCTGAGGTAGACAAATTGAAAGGGGGAAAGCTGTTCAGAAACAGCAAATTAATTAGAGTATCCTGCTGTGCTCACACATACAGTTATATGAATTGGTGTTTTCTTTCTTAGATTTCAAAGCAGATATTTTTCTTTCTCCTTTTTTCAGAGAGTTCAAGTAGATAAAGACATGGAAAGCTGGGATGAAATGATTTTGAAGCCCATCTGCATCTGAAGCCATGATTTAAATACCATCATTAAGGTACGTCTTGGAGGAAGAAATTGAACCAAGGGTTGTGGTTAACTCTTTTTCGGTTTTGCCTGCCTTCTGAGACTGGGTTAAGCCATGTCATGAGGAGTGGCCTGTCTGAATCACATTCAATGAACCAGAGTTTCAAGAAAGTGAAAGCTGCCCTGTGAGGATCAGTGGGCCCACAAACCTTTCAGCCATTATGATACTTGGAAAAAAAAAAAAAAACATTTCCTCAGTGGTCCTGTATGTATCCCAGTGTACCCTTTAGAAACTCCTGGAAAGAAAAGGGAAACTTGATACTCAGTTCTTTCTGAACTGAGTTATGGCTTTGAAAGTGCTTCCATGGACTCCAAGTTAGATTTTGTAGATAGGAGTACCTAACTGTAGAAAAAGGGAAGAGACATACTTCTGGGAACTGTGCTATTTGACCTGCTTCTCTGTAGTGGTATTTCTCAAAGTGTGTTCCATGAAACACAGCTCCCCATACTATTAATTCAGTGGGGGCAGGTGATGAAAGATGGGTCTGTGCCCAAGTGAATTTGGGAAATGTTGCATTAAAGTAATTGATCTTTCTCATAAATAAAGAGCCTGGCCAATCTACATGATGTGTGTGGTCAGTGGTACTCACCATAGTCCTGTGGAATTCTTTTATCATAACCAATGTTCCATTTGTTCATGAATTTTTTAAAAATCTAAGCCATGTATGGTGTTAGATGCTAGGGATACAGCAATAAATTAGATTAACAATGCTTATGGATAGAAAGTAAATAAGTTAATTAGTAAAAGTAGTTATTGAGAGATACGACAGCAAGAGTTTAAGAGGATGGTCTTAGGGTTGAGGATTTAACTCAGTCACAGAGGGAGCCTTCCTAGCATGTGCAAGGCCCAGGATTCAATCCTTTCCATTGGAAAAAAAAGGGGGGGGGACAGAGAGAATGGTCTCTGGAACTAGGTGTCCTGGTTATAATCCTGAGTGTGGCACTTGTAAACTGCATGAATCTGGGTAGACACCCAACCTCTTTTTCAAACTCTTCATCTGAAGAGCAGTGAAAATAGTTCCTATTATTGTGAGAACTAAAATCATGCATATATGCTGGCAAATATTAGATTCTATACAGGGGTCATCAGAATTTGTACATATAATGATAATGGCTGAGGACTTTGAAGGTTCCATGGTTACCTGACTGGGGAAGATAAGGCAGTGGGTGGAGACTTTTGAATAAGATGATCTGGGATGCTCTAAAGTAGAGACCTTGTAAAGGTGAGAAATAGCAAAGTATGCAGAAGGTATAAGAAAAGCATCCAGGGGGAAAGCAAGTACAAAAGTGTATGTCGATGCAAAGAAAGTACCTGACAAAAACCTAATACTTCATCATATTAAAACAAACAATAAACACTAAAAGAATGAGGACTAGAAGGAAACTTCTTCATTCTGCAGAGGGCACCTATAAAAGATTCAGGGCTATATCATACTGAATGATGAGGGGCTGAAAGCTTCCCCGCTAAGATCAGGGACAAGACAGGGATGCCTACTCTCATCACTGCCATTTAGTGTTTGTGATGATTAAGTCTAGATGTCAACTTGACCATATTAAGGTATATCTATATAATTGGTAAAGCATTTCTCCTGAGCATGTCTGTGTGGGTATTTCTGGAGAAGAACGGTGTGTGAGTCAGTAAACAGCGTGGGGAAAACCTTCCCTTTGTGTGGGCAGACACTATGCAGTTGGGAGGGGCCCAGATAGACAAAAAGAGAAAGGAAAGGCTAATTTAGTCTCTTTCCTGGAGCTGGGACACCTTTATTCTTCTGCCCTTGTACATTAGAATTCTAGGGTCTCCAGTGTCCCTTGGATTCTCAGGCTTTCTACCTAATTTGGACTGAGGTTTATACCACTGGCTTCCCTGGTTCTGAGGCCTTTGAACTTGGACTGAACCATGCTATGTGCATACCTGGTTCTCCAGGTTATAGACAGCCTATTGTGGGAGTCAGTCTGCAATAACTGAGAGCCAATGTTCCTAGTAAATTACCCATCTTCTGTCTGTCTATCCATCCATCCATCCATCCATCTGTCCACCCATCATCCATCCATCCTATTGGTTGAGAACTATTCCCTTGAGAACCTCAAAAGTCTTCCTCAAAACTGATGACACTAGCATACTAATATGCACTGTGCTAGAGGTTTTAGCCAGGTCAGTTATACAAAAAGATAAAATAAAAGACTTCCAGATTAGAAAGGAAAAACTAAAGCTATCTCTATTTGCAGATGGCATTATCTTATGTATAGAAAATTGTTAGGAATCTGCTAAATTATGAGAACTAATAAATCCACCAAGGGTGCAGAATATAAGATCAATATACAAAAATCAATTGTATGTCTGTACACTTGTAATTAATAATCTAAAATGAAATTAAGAGAATAATTTTACAATAGCATAAAATGCTTATACTTAAGAATAAATTTAATAAAAGAAATGTAAAACATATACTCTTAAAATTACAAAACATTGCCAGTGCAATGGTGCACACCAATAATCCCAGCTATTCAAGAGGAGAAGCAGAAGGATCACAAGTTTGATGCCAGCCTGGGCAATTTAGTGAGACCCTGTCTCACAAGAAAAATTTTAAAAAGGGCTGGGATATAACTCAGTTGTAGGATACTTGCCTAATATGCACAAGGCTTAGTTTCAATTCCCAGCACCACAAAATAGTAATAACAACAATGATGACAGCAACAAAAACCTACAAAACATTGTGGAAATTTTAAAAAACCTAAAAAATCAGACTTAATATTGTTTAAGTGGCAATACTCCCTAAATTGGTCTTCACGTACAATGCAATCTCTATCAAAACCTCAAATGGACTCTTTGCAGAAATTGACAATGGAAATTCAAGGAAATTCAAGGAACCCAGAATTGCCACAAGAGTCTTGATAAAGAATAATGAAATAGGAAGATTCAACTTTCTGATTTCAAAACTACAAAATTACAGTAATCAAGATGATGTGGTTATGGCATAAGGATGAGGATATAAATATATGGAATAGAATTGAGGATCTGGAAGTAAGTCCATATGTTTATGGTCAATTGATTTTCAACAGACGTGCCAAAACAATTCAATGGGAAAAGAATAATCCCTTCAACAAATGATACTGGGATACCTAGATATCCACAGGCAAAGGAATGAAGTTTGACCCATTCCTCACCATACATTAAAAAAAACTAACTCAGAATGGATCAAAGGCTTACAAGTAAAAGCTATAACTTTAAAAGTTGTAGAAAACTTCAGCATAAATTAGAAGAAAATAGACATAAATTCAATGACTTTGGATTGGCAATGGTTTTTGAGATAAGACACCAATGCCACAAGAAAAATAGATAAATTGAACTTTATCAAAATTAGACTTTTATTCATCAAGGGACAGTATCAATAAAGTGAAAAGATAGCCCAACAGACCAGTTTTTAAATCATATCTGTGATAAAAGACTACATCTAGAATATATAAAGACCTCTTCTTATGACTTGGTAATAAAAATACAAACCAATTAGAAACAGGCAAAGGATCTGAACAGACATTTCTCCAGAGAAAATATGCGAATGGCAGCAGCACACGGGAAGGTTCTCAACATCATTAGCCATCAGGGGGAGGCAACATGACCACAGTCAGATACCACTTATACCCATGATGAAATACAGCTGAACTGAAGGTCAGTGAGGATGTAGATAAACTGGAACTCTCATACATTGCTCATGGGAATGAAAAATATTTCTAATGTGGTTGCTTTGGAAAACAGTGTGGCACTTCCTCAAAGAGTTTAACATAATGTTACCTTTCATAATCTAGTATACAAATCCCAAGGCGCACACTCGAGAAATATTAATATATGTTTATGCTAAAACACCAGTGTTGGTACCAAAACAGGCGGGTGGACCAATGGTACAGAATAGAGGACACAGAAACCAATCCACAAAACTACAACTATCTTATATTTGATAAAGGGGCTAAAAGCATGCAATGGAGGAAGGATAGCATCTTCAACAAATGGTGCTGGGAAAACTGGAAATCCATATGCAACAAAATGAAACTGAATCCCTTTCTCTCACCATGCACAAAAGTGAATTCAAAATGGATCAAGGAGCTTGATAGCAAATCAGAGACACGCCGTCTGATAGAAGAAGAAGTTGGCTACGATCTACATACTGTGGGGACGGGCTCCAAATTCCTCAATAGGACACCCATAGCACAAAAGTTAATAACTAGAATCAACAAATGGGACTTACTCAAACTAAAAAGTTTTTTCTCAGCAAAAGAAACAATAAGAGAGGTAAATAGGGAGCCTACACCCTGGGAACAAATCTTTACTCCTCACACTTCAGATAGAGCCCTAATATCCAGAGTATACAAAGAACTCAAAAAATTAGACAATAAGAGAACAAACAACCCAATCAACAAATGGGCCAAGGACCTGAACAGACACTTCTCAGAGGAGGACATACAGTCAATCAACAAGTACATGAAAAAATGCTCACCATCTCTAGCTGTCAGAGAAATGCAAATCAAAACCACCCTAAGATACCATCTCACTCCAGTAAGATTGGCAGCCATTATGAAGTCAAACAACAACAAGTGCTGGCGAGGATGTGGGGAAAAGGGTACACTTGTACATTGCTGGAGGGACTGCAAATTGGTGCAGCCAATTTGGAAAGCAGTATGGAGATTTCTTGGAAAGCTGGGAATGGAGCCACCATTTGACCCAGCTATTCCCCTTCTTGGTCTATTCCCTAAAGACCTAAAAAGAGCATGCTACAGGGACACTGCTACATCGATGTTCATAGCAGCACAATTCACAATAGCAAGACTGTGGAACCAACCTAGATGCCCTTCAATAGACGAATGGATAAAAAAAATGTGGCATTTATACACAATGGAGTATTACTCTGCATTAAAAAATGACAAAATCATAGAATTTGCAGGGAAATGGATGGCATTAGAGCAGATTATGCTAAGTGA